GTTAGAGTCTACATGCTCTCTCTGTACATGCCAAGAATCATTCTTAAAATTAACTACTATACTAAAAGTTTTTGCAAAATCACAACCAAATATAAAAGTTTGTGGTAAAGATGGAACTACAAAAGCTTTGATAACATGACAACAGTTGTCAATGGCGACAGGCAAATCTACAATTCCGCTGACAATCTGTTGTTTTAAATCAGCTGTGCATATATAACTGGTATTTGCTGGGTAAATCTTTAAATTCAAATTATTTAAAATGTCCAAACCCTTTGAACCAACAACAGAAGCAGTAGCTCCTGAATCTAATAAAACTGTAACACTTACATCGTACAACTTCACAGAAATATATGGTCTATTATCAAGTGACTTATTTACGAACAAAGGAGAAATTTCATTTCCATCACTACTTTCTGGAACACAACCCTTACTCGAAACCTTACTTTTGCAAACTCTATTCTTCACTAAAGAAGTAACCATAAAATTACGAACTTTATTCAGCCAAGCTGACCAATCTTTATTATTAAACAACTTCTTAAAAACAGGTGACTTATCTTGACGGTGATTATCTTTAGAAAAACTATTTGAAAATCTTTTACTAAAAAAATTTGTAGAGGCCTTATTATGAACTGTGGATCGACCCCTGAAATTCACAGAACCTACTAGTTTTTTGAACACTTAGTACAAGAAGTTGTTTTTACATTAGGTAATCCACATTTAAAACAAAATGATTTTCTAGGAGCAATACAATTCTGTAAAGTATGGTTGGCAAGACCACAATTCCAGCAAACAATAGACCGTTTAGATTTATCAGATTTAATAGAATTATTAGATTTAAAAGAATTATTGTTATTATTACTATTAAAACTATTTTTATTTTTATTAAATTTATCTTTAGAACTGTACTTCTGATTACTATTTTTAGAACAAGATGGAGATGGTTCTTCTAAACTAGAAATACATTCTTGGGGTCTTTTGTCCTTTTTAGTAAGATAATCAGCCTCCTCAAGACGTCTACATAAATCTGAGAGTTCTGCAACAGTGTTAACATTTGTAAGTGCTAACCTGCTAACAAATTCTGGAAGAAGATTTCTTTTAATTTGTTTAATTTTAGAAGTTTCAAAAGGCGTTCGCGAAAGTCTCGCAAAAAAGGCTTCCAGATGAGCAATGAAAACTACCGTTGACTCATTTTTCCGCTGTTTCCTCATTTTGATCTGCTCCCAAATCTCTTCGTCAATATCATCATGCAAAAAATCACGCTTTAGTCTAGCTACTAAATCTTCCCAGTTATTAACAGAATTCTTTATACTTCTGGACCAAACAAAAGCATCATTAACAAAAAATTCAGCTGCAGAATTAAAAAGGTCATTAGTTGAGACATTTCTAGCCGAGGCAAGTTCAGTTAATCTTTCTAAAAATGGATATAAACTATTACCGGTACCATCAAATTTAATTTGCCATTCACTAAGAGGTTGACTAAGTGATGAACAACTTACTATAGGGGTTGGAATGTTTATAACTGGATTTGAAACAAAAGATTCATTAGTACTTGACGTAGATGGAATTTTGTCATAAAGGTCACCTTCTAATTTCAAACAAGTAGCATTAGTCTCACTAATATAAGTCTTAACCAATGGCAATAATTTAGGGTCTAAAGAAAATGAAATAATACGCTGAGCTCTACCTGCAATATGACTCAAACGCGACTTTACTCTAAGAAATGTACTGTCATTTTCTGTACCTTCAAAGTCTTCGATAATTAAATTAACTGAATTTAAACTTTTCTCAATAGCTTCTTGTTCTTTGTTAAAATCTAATTCTATATTTGCTAACTGTATATTATTACCAGGTTTAGATTTTTCACTAGCTAATAATCGACTTAAAATTTTACGTTTGTCTGCAACGGGACGAGTAGTAGCAGACTGACGAATAAACAATTCATAATCCAACTCATAATCTAAAAGATGACTGGGTCTAAAGTTATAAATATCCATTATGAATGACTAAATGAAAAGATAAATATTGAGGAAAAAGACAACAGATCAAATAAAAGGTTAGCTCCGACTAAAACTATGAACAAGTATTCTCACCCTATAGATGTGTATACTTACTCTCTAAAAGTTTGTAGTCAACTCAAACAAAATTAGATATTAAACAATTAAAATTATCAATATCAAACTATAAATCTAATGTTAAACATTAACATTAAAGTCACTTTTCAAAAGATTCTCAATAAATCAGTCTCAAAAAAGTTTAAACACAAAGTAAAAACCAAGTAAAATCAAATTGTATGATGTGTACTGTTACTCAAATAAAAAAAAATGAAATGTTAAATACAAAAAAAAATCACTAATGAGGTTTTTCTTTCTTACTAAAATGTTCCAAGATCAATCATATACTGAACAAGAAAACTAAAGTATATGTATACCTTGCATAAAAATATACAAGTCAATGTATACCTAAGTGCCAAATCAAAATATGTCTATCTTCAGTAAACACGTATAAAAAAAATTGAAAATGTTTTTCCAAGTTTTCCGAGAAATATAAGAAGATCAAATATCGAGAAACAATTTAAATTAAATCTTTATTTGAAGTGTTTCAAGGTTGGTATCTCAAAATATTCAATTAATAAATTATCAAAAAAATTAATCAGTGTATCTAGAATAGTAACTGTAAAAAAATAAAAGTGTAGGTGGTATCTATGAATATACGCAATGCATCTGTGCAAAGCCCCAAACGCTGGACGCCACTTTCTTTGTGACATAAACTTTCTTTTTATTGAAAATTTAAGTCAAAAATATTGCGAACGGCTACTCTTATATCGGAGGCAGTGGAAACAAGCTTTTGCTTCTGCACTTGACTAAAAATATGATACCCACCTATACCTTACACTGCATACCAAAGGGCGCCACTTATTTCAAAAAGATGGTAATACTTACAAAGGATAGTACAAACTGAAATAAGAAAATTTGTACAAGTGTATTAATTGAATAGAAACCAAAATTAGTATAGCTATTAAATATTTTGAGAGACTGGATCAACCAATGAAACAATTCAAATACCCAAAAAAATAAGATTTATTTCTTGTTAGAAATTATCCAGTACCTATTCGGCACAGCAGTTATATATATATATTAATATACAAGAACTATATTTAAGAAACTCTATCTTAAAATTTGTTTAAAATCAAATTATATCTTTTCAAATATTATTCAAACAATTATAATATAAAAGGAATACTTTTTAGAGACGGTCTTGGTTATATTCGAATAATACATATTTAAATTTGACTTGACTTATTACGAAGATTCATGAACCTTTTTGTTTATATATAGTTAAAGGGAAAATCTGTACCCAAGATTGCCCTTACAGGTCAAAGATCGTAATGATATAAAAGGTTAACATAAATAGATGTTGAATCTGAATAAACAATCAATATAACATGATTATTTTAATAATCAAATACAAGTAAAATTTAAGCAATGCTGAAGGCAAATACTTAAGTGTTAAAAAAAATATATAAAATGTAATAGAATGTTAAATTTTATAAATTAAGGGTTAAAGTAATGTTGAAGGCAAGTACTTAACCGGTTAAATGTAAAATGTTAAGAATAGTTAATTTCTTAACACACTAATGATTATTTAAAATCAAATTAATAAAAGTTTAGTTTACTATAAAAAAAATATACTGGCCTTGTATACCAAATTATACTAAAAAAGGATCTTCTTAATGATAAAAAACATCACAGCATCCAATTGCAGAAAAACGTCTAGAAAAATGTCTAGAAATACTTGACAAAAAATACGTGGAAAAATGCTGAGAAAAACGTTGAGAAAAATCTGTAGAAAAACGTAGAAAAATACGTAGAAAAATGTTGAAAAACCTAAAAAGAAATGCACGGTATTAGTTAACCTTACATTTTAAAAAACTCGAAAAATTTACGAAGGTATTAATTTACCTCATTGTGAAGGCACACAATCAATAATTATTTAACATTTCTTCTCAAATAAGGGCTGGACACTTCTCATCAAAAAACTGGAATCTAAAAGAAAGGCATGTGAAGGTTTTTTCTACCGAAGGGAATGTCAAGGAAAATCTTACCAAAACTATAGATCCATTAATATCTCAACAATCAAAAACTATATGGGATCTCCATCCATCTATGGGACAACAAAATCACAATATTTTTCCCATATTGTGAAAAATACCAGCCAAATAAATTTATTCTCAAAAATGGCACGGTGACCTCGACATCGGCCAAATCCGAGGTGACGATTTTGACGTTTCCCGTTTTATCGATACACCAGGGTACAATCCAATATTTTCGATAGAAAGCGTTCCGAAATTTAAGCGTTGTAGAAATGTAAAAAGAATATCGATACAATAATAAAATACCGTCTATAATAAAACAAAGTAGCATTTGGAAAATAAAAATGCTACACATGGTGACACAAACTTTACTTTTATTGAAAATTTAAGTCAAAATATTGCGACCGGCTACTTTTATATCGGAGGCGGTGGGAACAAGCTTTTGCTTCTGCACTTGGCTAAAAATATGATACCCACCTATACCTTACACTGCATACCAAAGGGCGCCACTTATTTCAAAAAGATGCTAATACTTACAAAGATAGTACAAACTGAAATAAGAAAATTTGTACAAGTGTATCAATTGAATAGAAACTAAAATTAGTATAGCTATTAAATATTTTGAGAGACTGAATCAACCAATGAAACAATTCAAATACCCAAAAAAATAAGATTTATTACTTGTTAGAAATATTCGGTACCTATTAATATATATATAGTATTAATTCTCAAAATGGCACAGTGACCTCGCTAACGGCCAAATCCGAGGTGACGATTTTGACGTTTCCCGTCTTGTCGATACACCAGGGTACGATCCAATATTTTCGATAGAGAGCGTTCCGATTTATTTAAGCGTTGCGAATTTAAGCGTTGTAGAAATGTGTAGTGTTCAATAGTTTAGAGATTATTATTATATAAAAAATGTACTCTGAATAACTGTAAACAACAATGTTTATCTTTACGTAATGCGGAAAGGCGAGTTCAGTCAATACACGATAGCCAGCAAGCAAACAGTATTTTATTTTAAACCCCAGAGTTTTCGTGTATTCTACAGTGGCGACGAGGACTAAACCAAACAGATATTGTGATTCGGTTAAAATACAATCGAGTAAGTACCTAAAGTTTTAATTGGAAAATTACACCAAATATTTACTATATATTGACCGATTTCGAAAAATAAATTAACACTTTAACTGCCACGTAAACACTAGTGACTGACATTTCTTTGGTAAGGAATCGGCCGTGTCAAACGTTCTGGGTTTATTTTACATCGTATTGTATATTAGAATCATTTTCCTGGTTCCTTCAAGTATCAGAGTACATTAATAACAAGACAATGAAAATTTTATTTTATAAAGAAATGGAAATAGGCAGCTAAAATGTTAACAAAAAAAATTCTTTTGGTGTTAATTTATAATACTAAGTACATGTGTACATTTAAGCTTAATATAATACAAATAAAAGAGACTAAGGTCCAAATTAGAGGGACGTAGGTCCATATTAGAGGGACGTAGGTCCAAATTAGAGGGACGTAGGTCCAAACAGAGGGACGTAGGTCCAAACAGAGACGTAGGTCCAAATCAGAGGGACGTAGGTCCAAATCAGAGGACGTAGGTCCAAACAGAGGACGTAGGTCCATATCAGAGGACGTAGGTCCAAATCAGAGGACGTAGGTCCAAGTTAGAGGACGTAGGTCCAAGTTAGAGGACGTAGGTCCAAAACAGAGGGACGTAGGTCCAAAACAGAGGGACGTAGGTCCAAATCAGAGGGACGTAGGTCCAAATCAGAGGACATAGGTCCAAATTAGAGGGACGTAGGTCCAAATCAGAGGACTTAGGTCCAAATCAGAGGACGTAGGTCCAAATCAGAGGACGTAGGTCCAAATTAAAGGGACAGAGGTGCAAATTCGAGTTTCATTTATATGCCATTAAGAGATTAAGTCGAAATTAAATGACAAATATATATATATATATATATATATATATATATATCGATAATAGTTAATATTTGGTGTTAAAATGTAAATTAATTAAATAATATGTATACTGTAAATGTATCATAACTAGGTAACAAAGTTATAACAAAAAAAAAATAAAAAAAAATCAGTAATTATTAATTTTGTTAAGCTTTTTTAAGCCATATTTGAAATAAAGAATAATAATTGCAAATTGTTTATCTGAACATTAGATTTAGATCATTGTCCTTAATTATTAAAGCGTTAATGTTTATTTATACCTAAGATGTGTATATACGACTCAATCCTATATATATTTTTATTCCAGAAAATTAAAATCGACGATGAATTTATCAAGTCTTTCAACCCTGGAGAATTTTGATTGTGAAGGAGAAATTTCTTCTGTTGCTTTAAGATGGAGAAAATGGAAAAGGGCTTTGAATATATACCTAGAGGCAGCAAGTATCGACAGTCCCGCAAAAAAACGAGCTGTATTATTACATATGGGGGGAATAGGCATTCAAGAAATATACTATAATATTCCTGGGGCACATGTTGAAACTTCCGTTGATGTAGATATTTATGAAGTCGCTGTTCAAAAGTTGGATGAATATTTCGCTCCTAAACAAAGCAAGGTGTTTGAAAGACACATTTTTAGATTATTGAAGCAAGATCAAGGAGAGAAATTCGAGAGATTCCTCATACGCTTAAGACACCAAGCAGAAAAGTGTCAATTCCAGAATTTGGAGGAAAACCTTATCGATCAAATTGTGGAAAAAGGATGCAACTTAGAACTGAGAAAGAAAATATTAGCAGTTGGAGATAGCATGACTTTAGAGATGATTATAAATGAAGCTAATTCCTTAGAATCCGTAACACGACAGCTCGGGGAATTCTCAGGAAATCCAGATACGCTAACCCAGGACATTAATTTATTGCAACATAAGCCATCTGGAAGTCGTCGTGAAGAGGAATTTTGTAGGCGATGCGGTAGCACAAAACATTCTTCTACAAGTTTAAATTGCCCAGCTGTAAATCAAGAATGCGGAAAATGTGGATTTAAAGGACATTTTATGAGCCAATGCAGAACAGCTCCTGGAAAAAGAAAAAATAAAAGGTTAAACGTCATTCCCCAAAAGCGGCAATCCAAATTTAAAAAAGCGAAAATGTCGAACGCACATGCCATTGAAGAAAACTCCGAAGATGAAGGCGACTATGTGTTCCATATCGATCAAGACGACACACTATCATGCAAAATTGGTGGAGTGAACATTGATATGCTCATTGACTCAGGCAGTAAATGTAATTTACTGAGCCTAGATGCCTGGCAATATTTAAAACGTGAGAGAGTTCAAGTCCATAACCAGGTAAAAAATCCAGACAAAATATTTTTAGCCTATGCCAGTAAGGCACCCTTGACTGTCGTGGGATCTTTTGAAGCATTTATTGATGTTGGAAATCAGCCTATTAAAGCCGTATTTTATGTAATAAAAAATGGAAATAAAAATCTACTTGGTAAAAGAACGGCAATAGAGCTAGGTGTTCTAAAAATTGGTTTACATAATGTCAATGCCACAACAAGCCCATTTCCGAAATTTAAGGACACAGTTGTAGATATTCCAATTGACGAAACAATACAGCCGGTAAGTCAGCCATATAGACGAGTACCAATTCCACTGGAAGAAAAAATCAACAGGAAACTTAAGGAACTTATTGATTTAGACATCATTGAGGAAGTGGCAGGATCATCTAAATGGGTATCTCCAATCGTTCCAGTATTAAAGGACAACGGGGAGGTTAGAATCTGCCTTGACATGCGAAGAGCAAATTCAGCTATTATGCGTGAAAATCATCCACTTCCAACGATGGACCAGTTATTACCAAAATTTAGAGGTGCAAAGATATTTTCAAAATTAGATATAAAAAACGCATTCCATCAAATCGAAATTTCACCAGCCTCCCGTCATATTACTACATTTATTAGCAGCAAAGGATTACTACGATATAAAAGACTGATGTTTGGCATATCTTGCGCCCAAGAAATTTTTCAGAAATTATTGGAACGTGTACTTGCCAAATGTGACGGTGTTGTCAATTTCATCGGCGATATTTTAATTTTTGGAGCAACTCTAGAAGAACATAATATGAGATTAAATAATGTTTTAACAACCTTAGAACAAAATAACATCCTACTAAATAAAGATAAATGCATGTTTAGATTGAGAAGCGTTGAATTTTTAGGTCATCAGCTCTCAGCAGTAGGTACCAAACCACTAGAGAGCTACATAGGAGCCATAAACACATTTCGAGCACCCAAAACTATTATGGAGATACAAAGTTTTGTGGGGTTGGTAAATTACGTGGGAAAATGGATCCCTAATCTAGCAACGCTGACAGACCCGTTAAGGAAGATACTTAGGTTAAAATTAGGAAAAAATTCCAACATAGAGTCCTACTGGAAGGCTGAACAGCAACATTCGTTCAAAAAACTAAAAGAGACCCTATCCAGCATCAAAACATTGGGCTATTATCATCCAGGTGACAGAACCCAAGTCATAGCTGACGCCAGTCCAGTTGGTCTTGGCTGTGTACTTATCCAATTTGACGAATCTGGTCCTCGAATTATATCATTTGGAAATAAAAGCCTGACAGCTTGTGAGAAGAGATATTGTCAGACGGAAAAAGAAGCTCTTGCGCTGGTATGGTCAGTGGAACATTTCCATATGTACCTATATGGAAAAGAAACATTTGAATTGGTTACAGATCACAAACCACTAGAAGCCATATTTAAACCAACAGCCAAACCGTGTGCGCGCATAGAGAGATGGGTCCTTCGACTACAATGTTACAATTATAAAGTAGTATACCGCCCTGGAAAATTTAATATAGCGGATGTTTTATCCAGACTGCCAAGAATAGAAAATATAAATAAATCATTTGATGAAAATTCTATTTGCCAAATACTAAGCTATTCAAGACCTGTTGCTGTTTCATTATCTGATATCAAGAGAGCTTCAGAAAAAGACCAAGAAATCACCAAAGTAAAAGAAGCAATATTTCAAGATGTTTGGGACCAATCAATTAATCAATATAAAATATTTAGTTCAGAACTGTGTTTTCATGAAGGAATTCTATTAAGAGGTGACAAAATAGTTATACCATCACAACTTAGGCCAAAAGTTATGGAAGCAGCTCACGAAGGTCACCCTGGCATCGTAGCTATGAAGAAACGTTTACGAACGAAAGTGTGGTGGCCTAAAATCGACGCCGACGCGGAAAAACTTGTAAAGGCTTGCAAAGGATGTACGTTGGTTTCAGCGCCGAATAGACCAAATCCAATGAAACGACGGGAACTGCCTTCACAGCCATGGGTAGTTGTTGCCATTGATTTCTTAGGCCCACTTCCAAGTAACGAGTTTATATTCGTCATAGTCGATTATTTTAGCCGTTACAAGGAGATTAAAGTATTAAAAGATATTTCAGCACAAAGCACGATTAGTACATTACAAGAAATTTTCTCTAGGCTAGGGTATCCATCTTGCATTAATGCTGATAATGGCAGGCAGTTTACAAGCATTGAATTTAAAAACTATTGTAAAGAAACCGGTATCGAATTATTTCACACTATACCTTATTGGCCTCAACAAAATGGCGAAGTTGAACGACAAAATCGTGACATACTAAAGAGAATTAAAATTAGCTGTGCTTTAAAACAAAACTGGAAAAGGGATCTTCTCGATTACATGATGATGTACAATAGTACACCGCACAGTATTACCGGTAAATCTCCATCCGAATTGTTTTTTCGAAGATTTTTTAGAGACAAGATTCCTAGCATCAGCGATCTAGAAAACAATAATTTAGACAGTGAAGTTAGAGACAGAGACAAAATATTAAAAGAACAAGGAAAAGAATACGGGGACAGAAAACGAAAGGCAGTAGAAACTAATTTGGAGCCAGGTGACAAAGTTTATGTGAAAAATTTAATTAAAAGTAATAAAACTTGTCCAAACTTCAATCCAAGTCCACATACAGTAATAAATAAAAATGGAGATGATATTCAAATTAGGAATGATGAAACAGGTCAAGATTATCGAAAGAAATATAATACATTTAAAAGAAAATTGAAGGAGAATGGAAAGTCACTAATAAACCAGAACAAAATGATAGTAGTCATGAGCATGACTAGGGAACTATTGAATGAAGTTAAATGTATTGTTTGGATAGTGGGTATTTTGTGATTTAACTTAATTTTATTGTTACAAAATAGTGTAGTCCCTAAGAGATTATTATTAGCATTAAGTTATACTAGTTCGTTGTTTATTGTAAATTAGAATTAGTTAAATTAATATATCTAGGTAATAAGTTATATCGTTTTAGTTATAGGTTGCAGAAGTTATCTCTTGTTGCTAATTTTGTTAATGTATTTCAATTTGTTTAAAAAAGAAGGTGGATGTAGTGTTCAATAGTTTAGAGATTATTATTATATAAAAAATGTACTCTGAATAACTGTAAACAACAATGTTTATCTTTACGTAATGCGGAAAGGCGAGTTCAGTCAATACACGATAGCCAGCAAGCAAACAGTATTTTATTTTAAACCCCAGAGTTTTCGTGTATTCTACAAAATGTAAAAAGAATATCGATACAATAATAAAATACCGTCTATAATAAAACAAAGTAGCATTTGGAAATTAAAAATGCTACACCATCTACCTGCTCTATAAACTCATCCACACTATAAATTCCAGATTTCCCTAAAAATGACTTAAGCTTATATTTAAATTTATTAAAACATAGATTTTTTAATTCCATTGGAAGACGGTTGTATAAATCAATCGCAGATCGCCCCTCCCGGAAGCCGAACTGTGAAAAGTCGTGCAAATCGTTTCTCTCGAAAAAATCCATTAATCTAACTCTAATAATTTTTTCAAATATTTTGCCAAAAACGGGAACTATCGATATGGGGCGATAGTCCGACACTGAATCCTCGTCTCCTTTTTTAAAACGGATGACTTTGCTTTTTTTGCATTAAACCACGAAATATTTTAGTTGTTTAAAAAGAAAACTAAAAATAATAAGTTATATACAATTATTCCGTTTATATTGTTGGTCATTCGTTGTTCGCTAAGAAAAAATGTACTACGCCGTCGTGGAATTTAAATCAAGAAACACCACAAAAGCAAATATCAAATAATTTGCAGTGGTAATTTGCACTTATTTGGATTATCAAGAACGAACGACGTTACTATTGGCCTACTACCACTAAAATACCATTACAAGCCTGCATTCATCAAAGCAATCCTCCCAAAAAACAATGGTCCCACTATTCACTGGAAAAAGTTCATTTTAAAACTGGTAAGTTCGAAGTCGATCTACTTAAAATACGATTCTAAACGCAATTTAAGGAACAATTAAAGTGTTGTTTAATATCTATTTTGATTACGATAAACCGGTCTTTACAACAAGTTATCATTCTTAGAGATCTACGTGTCTGCTGAAAATTAGTTAGAAAGGCTGATATCGGAAAACACTGAAATTAACAATTCCTCTGCTGCAAGTCATGTCAGCATCGTCAGAAAATCGACTCCTTAAGATGACTCCTTAGAGTTTACTCAGATGATTCCAACAAGTCACCTAACAAGCGACTTGCATTAAGCAGCGCTAGTAACAGGATATGTGAGTACCTAACTATTGAATAAAAATATCCATTCGTTCATTACTCATACTTACTCATAATAATTCACAGATCCATTTGACAAACCGACCGGTGAGGGATAATGTTTTGATTGCAGCTCCGTTATTACAGCCCCCGTTACTAGACATAGGCGACAACGCAATTATCAATAATACAGGAGGCGTCACGTGCGCGACGCCTCCTGCAACTTCGACATCCACAATGACTGTCCTCACAAATATGAGAAATGCTTTTGACAACGAAATAATTATTGGCAAGCATGCAGAGTGCAGTGTTAAAAATGAACTCCGCCGGGAATATTTTTTCCAGATCACACAGGATTGAATATAGGTATGTTTCTTGTGAGTTTTGGTTTAGTAATTAAATTTTATTAATATTCTATGCACTAATTTCTAAAATTATTTTACCTGTATCCGCAGAATATCAGAATACTGTTTTGAACAGTTTTGCTAAGATTCAAACCACGAATGATCAGATACTGCCCACTATGCCAGAAATCTTAAGATACCTGATAAAGCTTGCCCTGGACAAACTAATAGCTCCAGAGAATTTGCTTTCCTTCCCTCTAAAAACTTAGGTGGAATTTTGAAGTCTTGAGAAGCTTATAAGATCCTTCTGTCAATCAGTACTTGGTGAGAGAACACATTTTTAATTTCCAGTCGATATGAGGCGTTTAGAGCAAAAGTGGCCCAAGCCACAATTTTTAAAAAAATTAAGCTAAGGGCAAAAATGGCCTACAAATAAATTACATTTATATAATGCAATATCGGCTCAAGCCTATTTCGACCATTCACCACAAGATGTCGCCTGAATTCACTTTTGCTCACGCAGCCGCTAAAGCAAGACTGGCCCATGCCACTTGTGGGCCACTTTTGCATTCAGTGTCGATGCAAATTTGACAGCGTGCGATTGTTATTTTTTTGATAGTGAAAGTTGAAATAAATTGTTTAAAAAAGGAAAGAATAATGTCTGGTAGTGTTAGTGTCATATTTTTTTGTTGAAGAGTAGTATTTTTTTCAGCTTATAAAAAACTGTATTTTGAGGTTACCTTGAATACCGTTTTCCCATATTCTGGGTTTGGGCCACTTTTGCACTTATTTTTTTTTTGTTGCAGATATTAAAGAGCCTTTTCAGGATTCAGGTTCTGAATTCGTACCTTCTTATGAAGGAGCTAGTGAAGCTAGCAATCTCTCTGGTGAGTTTGTCTTTTTAGCTCTTTATTATGATTTTATAGACGTTTTATTGTTTTATCGTAGACAATGGAGACATCCCCATTTCGAGAAAAATCCCCAAGAAAAATGAAGGATAGTGGAAGAGACATATTCGGAAAAGGAAGCGTACTGCTGGTGAAGAATATAATAATAATGATAATAATAATAAAGACTTTATTGCGAAATTTAAAAAAATCACAAAAGGCGAAGTTGAAGCTTAGCTTCCTAACTTAACCCTAATTAGTAGACATAATTAATATATATTATATAAAAATATTATAATAAATCAATAATAATTATAATAGAAAACTAAAGGGTAGAATAACATAGTTTGGTTTGGTTTGGAAAGAATATACCGAAAATCAATTAATTAAATATTTATACATGAAACATGAAATAATTGATAAGTATTTATATATGGTAGATACACAAAGAGAATAATTCTATGAGTAAAAAAAAGGCAACCAATAATTAATCCCGTATTATAGATAATTATACAGAAAGTAATTAACAAGTAAGTACATTAAGTAGATAAATAAATAAATCAAAACAAACTAAAATGGCGGCATGACGGGAGATTATAAGATCTGAACATTTAAATTGAAGAATTAAATATTAACTGTCGTATAGAACTTTTAAATTTCAAATAAGAGTTAATTTTAAGATTTACAGAAATTCTATTATAAAGAATACATGCCTGATAACTGAATATCTCTCATACAGAGTTGTGCGATGTATAGGGGGAGCGATATTAAACTTGTGACGCAAGTCCAGTGAATGTTCATCATACCTAAATTTAATTTTATCAAACAAATAACATGGACTTTTATTATTGATTATCTTATAAATTAGTAAGTATGAATGAAATTTTCTTCTCCCAGCCATGTTGAGCCAACCAATTTCCGCCATTTTATTTGTGATACCTGTATCATATTTTTTTATACTGCCTATCAAACGGATACAACAGTTCTGTAGTCGTTGAATGCGTTTAGCATCATGATCTAAAATACACGGTCCATATAGTGAGTCACAATAGGTAAATTGTGAAAGAACTAAGGTGTCACATAATTTCTTTTTGAGATTAGGATTTAAGATGTAACGTTGATTGTAGATCAGTTTTAAATTTATGAAGGCCTTTTTTATACATTTGTTAATATGTTCAGTAAACCTTAAGTGAGTATCCATAATCACACCAAGGTTCCTTGCAGATTTACAGCTATTCAACCTCTTTCCGTCCAAAGACACAGAAAACAATTTTTCATATTGGTCTCTAGCCTGTATTCTACCAAATAAAAGACCGTAACATTTATTGGGATTAATGTCTAAACAATGATTAGATGATGTCTTTAGAAGTATACTAAGTTCACTAGAGAGGATGGCATTGGCTTCCAATATTTTTCCTGGTTGGAAAGACATATACACTTGCGTGTCGTCTGCATATAAGCGAAGCGACGTTGAATCTCTCAAACCCGAATCGAGCTGTGATGTGTAGAGGATAAAGAATAATGGACCCAGAATTGATCCTTGTGGGACACCACAATTAATATGTCGAACACTAGACAGCGTGCCATTTAATCTTACAGATTGTGTCCTATCTGAGAGATAACTCTCGACAAGTTTCAATGCGCGACACTCAAGCCCAAGAAACTTTAATATTGCTAATAAGAGTTGATGATTCAACTTATCAAAAGCCCTCGAGTAATCCAAGAGAACCAAACCAGTGAGGTCACCCCGATCAGCAGCCTCCAGAATATCATCCGTTACCTTGAGTAATGCTGTTGTACAACTGTGGTTTTTCCGAAATCCCGACTGAATCGGAGGCAAGAGACTATGTTTATTTATGTATTCTCTCAGCTGGGATTCAAGAACCCTCTCAAATATCTTAGAGAGGGTTGGAAGGATACTTATTGGTCTTAGATCACTCATACTGGTGATACTGGATACTTTAGGCACAGGAAGTAGAAATGAATACTTCCAACCCAAAGGGAATGTGGAAGTTTCAATGCATGAATTGATAATATGCGCAATGTACGGAAGAATAACTGGATAACAATAAAGGAGCATGGTCAATCCAATACCATCGGTACCCACTGCTTCGGATTCGATCGATAAAAAAGCTGAGCGTACCTCGTCAACCGTAGCGATCCTGAACTCAAATGACGCATTTGTTTTCTTCCTGTTATGTAAGTAGAAATTCAAATTATGAGGATCGGGAGTGGTAGGCCTAACGGAACTGATAAAGAATTCGCCAATATCCTCAGCTCTATCCACAGAATCAGGAATGTGTTTGGAATCATTGGAATAAACACCCAAGTTTCTCAGAAGCTTCCAATTATCTTTTGCACTGCGGTTACGTAAATTATACTCAAGAAAAGCTTTTTTTTCTCTTTGAATAGTAGCACTTGTAAAATTTCGAAGCTGCCTATAATACTCCCAATTCTGAAGTGTCTTTCTCTTTTTATATTTGCTTAATGCTCTGTTTCGAGTCTCCATCAAATATCTTATATTTTGTGTGATCCAAGGTGCCTTTTTTTTCGTTATGCGAGCTGTCCTGACTGGTGCATAAGAGTCAAATAAACTCACTATAAGGTAATATATGTTAACACCAAGGGTAGATTGGTCCCCTCTAAGATATTTGAAGCCAGAGAATGCGCTTGTTCAAAGAAGTGTCACGAAAAATTTACATAAGAATGACGTCTAAATTCTATTCAAAAACTTTTATAGTTTGGGATCTCATACTTTGCAAAGTTCTTATATTTTCGGACATGTCAAACTTCTAAATAAAGAACGTTTCTATTCCACGGAAAATAGAAAACCAAAGAAGCACAGCAGGTGCTATGTTTTGCCAAATTAAAGAGGTGAAGATAGGAAAGTTTGCAAAACTTTTTTCAAATAATCATTGGGCGTATCTGATGGCCGTATAACTACGGTTTTAAATTCCTGGAACCCCAATAACTGGAACGCCACTAGTTCAGTCATTGGGGATCAAAAAAGGAGCCTGCTTGGAAAAAAGTCCGGAAGTTTTGAAACTTTGTAGGATTGACGATTTGGGTATCCAGCACTAAAATTCACAAAATGCACATTTCGAGACGTGGCGCTCGCGGCACGATCTTGCCAAGATGGCGCCTAAAATCGGTATTTTGCAAATATCTCGAAAACTATGCGTTTTTAGAGAGAAGAAATATGTAGAGAGCAAATTAAAGAGGATACAATTTCCTACAACAAAGATTATAAGGAAATTTTCGCTTAAGTTAATTGTTTCGGCATAAGAGCTCAATTTATGACAACATATTTCGGTAACTTCTTTGAACTGCTTTATATCTATATACTATGCGTATATATTTGTGTCTCATAACAAAACGGTGTATTCAAATGAATTGTTGTAATATTTTCATCTTATGATGAACAAGACACACATTTTTAGCCTATGTGGAGCTACCAATGATAGACCGGAGTGCCTAAGTAGAGGGGTTAATTAGCACTGTGCAAGGCTCACCATAATGTATACCTCCTGAAGCTTGAAAGAGGAAAACCGGTCGACAGCAGATACACGTCGCAGAGTTTAAAAAGCATCGAAGCAGTGAAGGACAACATCTTCTTCCTCCACGCAATAAGTGGGTGTGATACGACGTCGGCCTTATTGAACCAAGGGAAGCTAAACACTTTGACAACACTTGAAAAACGTAGAGACTTACAAGCTCCTATTTCAGTAAGTAAGTATTTCAGAACAAGCATGCCACTGCTGACGAAGTTGCTATTGCAGGTGAGAAATTTCTTATTGCTCTCTATGGATGCAAAGAAAACGAGAACCTAAATCTGGATAAATATCGATACCAGTGTTTCGTCAAATCCGTAACCAAAAGTAAATTTAATTTAGCATCTTTACCACCGACTAGAGCAGCAGCACGACAGCATTCATTGCGAACTTACCACCAGGTTCAGCATTGGTCTGGTTGTACCAAAGATGCCGAAGAATGGGGTTGGAAGAAAACAAAAACAGGCATTACAGTCACAACGTTGAAAGATCCAGGTCCAAAATCCCTATCGGTATTTTTATCCTGTAAATGCAAAACCAACAACTGTGGTAAAGCCTGCGGATGCAGAAAAGCAGGATTAAAATGTTCAATAATTTGTGCATACTGCAATGGGAAATCCTGTGACAACGTCTGCCTAATCAACTTGTCAACACGTAAGTCGATAGTTTAGCCGGCGTTGATCATCGAATAGAACAAGGACGTTTGAGGGCCGAAATGAGGTCTTATTAATTTATCAGTATGGGCTAACTATTTTATGGATATGGATGTTTGTCTGGGCCGGCGGATAAAGAAAGCCCATATTATTATAAAAAAAATATGCGTCAAGGCATATGGGTTGTTAGGTACAGTTTGGCTATTTTAATCTAACTCTTTCCGTATGAGAAGCAAGGGGCAAATTATACGTGAAAGAGGAATCACATAAATAATAAATTTAGACTAATGCAATATTTTTTCTTGGCGCGTAGGATATGTAAATGCATTAAAGGGAATAATTAATTAAATCATTAAGTTCCAAAACAATAAATAATAAATCAATCAATAACTCGGGTCTCATCGGATCTGCTGATACATTTTGCTAAAATTTAGGCTATTAGGACCTATATTTTTTATGATTATTATTTTTTTAATTAACAACTTAGGACAAAGAAAAAGCTTGCATGGTTATATAATATTTATTGGGTTATATTATATTAAGTTTTTATCCTTTGAATATTGTTGTAAATAATAATTATCATTTAATTAGAGCTAACTTATCAAAGTTTACAACATGGCGAAATTTCAACAAAATCGGCCAATGGATCTTTGAGATATTAATAAAAAAGGTCTATTAGAAAACAACTTGACACCCTGTACCTTTAAAATTATACATTTCCGGATACATGTTTATATGAACTTTTTATCTTAAAACACTTAAAGAATCACCTCCTGAAGTTTGGCCAGATACTTAATTAACACCCTGTATTTAAAAATGGCTAGCTAGTGATCTAGTACGCTATGTTTATTTTAAAGGGAAAAAATAACATTTCATAAAAAATAAACAAACTCATAATACAAATACTATACACTAATTAATTCATTTTAAATGTATCTAAATAGGCACTTTAATAATTGAAAAATTGTCAGGAGCACTTAAAATCACTTCATAGAATATACCAAATATGCAAAAAAATTCAATAAAAAAACCACAAATGGCATATTAAAATCTGCATTATCTGAAATCAAACTATACCTAAACGGCTAATAAAATAATAGTGACAAGACTAAATAAAAGTGATAAGACGCCGACATCGATAACGCGATGAGCAGTTTTAAATAATTATATTATTCCGAGTTATACGACATACGTGTTTTACAATTATTGTAATTTAGTAGCATTCCTTCAAATAAGTTTTAATTTAAGTATTGTTAATATAGTCAAATTAATGATTATAGCCCGAATGATTTTTAAAATAAAAAAATCAAGCGTGTTTTTATCAGAATTATTAAATGATTAAAAATAAGTAGAAATAGTTAATATTTATTAACTTCATAAGTGGATCTATTTTAATATAATTAGGGACTATCTTAAGTTTAAATTATAGTAAACTTGTATGAGTTTCAATCATTTATCTCAAGGGAAGGACTGTGTAACTAGTAATTAAAACTTAACAATTTTTTTACTTGATATTTTTCTGGTCGTTCACGTTGCACTTTGACTCTTCGTTGTGTCATACACAATCTAAATTTCGGATATGATGCAGAACTGATAAATGGGATCAAATATATTAATTGCAAGGTATGCAAAGAAATATTTTTGTTAACTTTACAAATACTTAAGGCATGCAATAATTTTAAACAATTTTGACGTGAAATTACCTCATAATTCTTGGAAGTCTTGAATGATAAAGATTTGAATTATTATGGGTCTGTTTTGTTTAAGAAGCTAACAAATAATTTCAAAAACTCAACTATCAAAATATATTGGTAGCAAATTTTAGTAACTAGTAAACTAGGTATAGTTGCTGCAGTCGATAATATATGTTGCTGCTTATTTGCAGCACAACAAAATCCGTTATGATGAAACGAAAAAAAAATCGCTACTCATATTATGGGCACCTATGTATTTTTAATTTCATAATGATGTTTAAAAATACATAGGTACATACTATGAGTAGTGGTTGTGACGGTTTTTTATTAGGTATGATGAAAAGAAGCTGCAAACTAAACTATCGTTGGAGCCAACTACATTTTAATTTATTTTTATCTACAGTAACTATGCACGGTAGGGGTTCAAAATATGCCTATACTGTGAGGCAACTCCATTCGAGTATAAATTAACATTTACATTCCAAGTATCTTCTTGGTCTACCGACACCCCGTTCACCTTTATTCCCTCATTTCTATAAAAACATATTATGATTTATAACTTTTAATTTTTATTGTGAAAATTAGTGAAAAGTAATTTTGTTGTACGGCGAATTTAAATTTATGGGCCATCCATAAATTTAAATTTACACCTAAGTTCGAATATTGTTTAAACCTAGAAATACCCAGGTAAAGTAAGCCCAAAATATGCAAAAGAAGAAGTGAGTTTAGGTTAGATTAAAATTAGGTTTTAGTTGGTTTTGCATTAATAAAAATATAGACCTAATCTAAACTTAAGCTAAACTGACCCCCTTTTTGCATATTTGGGCTCTTACGTGGGTAGGAGCCCGTCATAGTATCGTGACCGTGATCGTGACCATTCACGAATCCGCACACGTTCATCTCCATCATTAATATTTTCCTCACTAAATTCTTCACTTTTACAAAAAGCCATCACGATAAGAATCAAGTATCAAAATTATTTAACGTTGCGAACGTTAAACTTGTTCACTATACGTATCTGGAATATATTTGCGACCAATGATACGTTTACGTTATACTGCGTTTACGTTATACTGCCGGAGTGCTGACGTCACGAATGTCAAATTGCTTAAAGCTACACGCACACTGGGACGTTCACGGCCGCGATCACGATCACGATCAGGGCAGCGATACAGTGTTTGTACACTTAAGTCCCTGATCGTGATCGTGATCGCGGCCGTGATCGCGCCATTGTGCGTACAGCTTAAAGGTTTAGTTCTTTTATATTTCTATTGAGCTGTTCCAAATGACTCCACAAGTTAATATAAAATGTAAAAAAAAACAGGTGATTGTCGACAACCGCCGACTTGTGTCTGGTATTTTCAATACGCCTATGATGGTTGCGCATGTTGCAAAATCTGCGAATTTTTAATTTACCTAGTGGAGTAGGCCTTTGGAGAGACTACGTTAAAAAAACGCGCCATGTACTTTACCTCTTGGGTGGTGTGGAAACAAGTACACATTTTCAATAATTAAAATTAATTAATCATAAATTAATGATCGAATTAATGATACGCCACTGTTTCATAACAAAATTGAAGAAACTAAACTAAAACTAGTTTTAGTGAACCCTAATCGACATTTGATTTCGGAAAATCGACTATATATCATACGCAAAATTGTAAAATTTCCAGGGAGTTTGTGCCTAAACGGTTGACTTCAGCGAAAATTTTCATAGAACCTTTTTTATAGGAAATTTTCTTCTCTTTAATTTTTGCGAAAAACGCATAGTTTTCGAGATATTTACAAAATACCGATTTTGGGCGCCATCTTGGCAAGATGGCGGCGCCGGCGGCAAGTCTGGAAATGTGCATTTTATGGATTTTAGTTAGGGACCCCAAAACCTATAAACCTGCAAAGTTTCAAAAGTTCCGGACTTTTTCCAAGCAAAAATCCCCAATGGCTGAACTACACAGCCTGATAGAGGTGGAAAATCATCATCAGTTAATAAAACTTCTGTGGAAAAAGTCGCTGCCGTGAAAGTTTTATTAACAAGTTGCCGGCCTATCAGTCCCATTATTCTTTGAAGAAAAATCCGAATGTCAAGTACCTTTCCCCAGAACTAGACATAACTAAGATGTACAATTTGTATAAGAATGAAACTGAACAACCCGTGTCACTGTTTGTTTTTCGACAAATATTCAAAAACGATTTTAATTGCTGTTTAATATTTATTCATTTTTTTTCTATTTATATTATCTTGACTCCTGATTACGTTTTGTTGATTTACCTTGATTTATCTTTGATTCGCTTTTGATTTACCTATCATATTCGTATTTTTGATTGATGTACGTTTCGGTATCTATTTGATTTGCCTTTTCTATTTATCTTTTTCGATTTTCTATTTACTTTGTTTTTTTTACCTGGCGGATTGCATTACTGACTTCTGATTTCGATATCGATATTTTTAATTTGATATTTACTTACTTTTTCTTTGTTTTATTTTTGTTGATCCTTAAACACTTGGTTTGCTTTTCGGACTGAAATTTATATAATTACTGATATAAAAAATATTTCGTATTTTTACTTGATAATTAACATCATTATTTTTTTTTGGTTTTACATTTAATATTTAAATTTGTACTTTATTTAAATTTCTCGGCATTATGGATTTTAAAATGAATATATGTTATCTCAAACAGGAAATGTTACTTCATGAGCTTAGGGTTCGTGCTGTGTCTGTTGATGATCAAAGTACTGTCGATAAATTGAGAACTACCTTGCGACCTTTATTAAAAATGGAAAATCTCCGTATAACCTAAAGTTTGATGAGGAAAAGCTACTTATTCGTACGCTATTAGACGAGGTTAATGAGTCCATTAGTGCAGTATCATCGGAAGAGAACGTTCAAAACAAATTTCTGTCCATTCAGTCTAGACTAGTCCACCTGCTTAACCGTGTAAATAGAATACCTGACACAATTTTAAACGACAACCAGCAATCTGAGAAAACCGAACTTTTGATTGATGTTTTAGCAGCACTCGATACCTTAGAATCTACGTCTCGACAAGAACCTCAGTTGAGCAATCACTTTCGAGACCCTGATGATGATGTGCCATTACATTCCTCACATGTATATAATTCTACTAGTCAATCTGTTCCTGTTGTGCATAGCGTCTCCCCTTCAAAATCTCCAAACATTGAGAAATGGAATTTAAAATTTTCGGGCGACATTAAAACGCTATCCGTCCACAACTTTTTAGAAAGAGTGAATGAGTTGCGCTTGGCACGTGGTATAAATGAAAAACAATTATTTGATTCGGCCATTGATTTATTCCCAGGAAAAGCCTTAAATTGGTTTAGGGCAAATAATCATAGATTTTAAGATTGGCAGGGTTTAAGTAATTTGTTGCGTAGTCACTTCGAGTCACCCGACTATCGTGCTAGATTCTTTAAAGAAAGTTTAGAAAGGACACAGGATACCTCCGAGACTATAATTGACTATCTTTCATGTATGCAGGCGTTGTTTAGACGTTATGATGGTTTATCTCCAGAAACTCAACTGGACATTTTGTTGGAATTTATCCCCATTTTATACCACGCAACTTCCTGTTGTAAATACAATTGAAGAACTTGAGAGAGAATGTCTTAAGCTAGAGGTGAAGAAGTATCGTGCCGAAAGCTACGTACCTCCGTCTAGGAAGAAGCAACAATTTGTCGAACCGGACTTTGCTTTTGTAGGAGTGGAGAATTCACAGCCTTCTACATCTTATAATTTTATTGCTGAAGAAAACCAAGTTAGTGCAATATCTCGGAGCTCACAGAATAATTCGTCTAAACAGATTACTTGTTGGAATTGCCAGAAGCCAGGCCACATAAATCGTAATTGTCCTAATCCCAGAAAAATGCATTGCTATCGTTGTGGTACACCAGATGTGATAACTAGAACCTGTCCAAAGTGTTCCAGTTCGGAAAACGGCCCTCGGGGAAGTCGTTAGGTCGTGCTATTTCCTCTCAATCCACCCTATTAACGGCCCATGCAAATAACACCCAAGACCTTTAAAATAAAATCCTTATTGATTATATTGTTTCGCATGCACAAGGCGATCAACGTCCTTATCTTCAAATTAGCATTTTAGGTTATTCACTTTAAGGTTTACTTGATTCTGGCGCGAGTCGTACATTAGTTGGCTTGCCTGGTTACGAAATTCTTTTCAGCCTAGGACTGACATTAGTTAAGCAAGAAAGTTCATGTACAGTTGCGAATGGTGAAGTATGTACTAGTATAGGTTATATTCAAACACCAATAACTTTAATGAATAAAACTAAAATTATTGATATTTTGATATCTCACAAAATTATTTTTGGCATAGACTTTTGGAAGTGGATGGAAATTGTACCTGATCTCAAGCAAGACGTTTGGCACTTTTCTGAGAACACTGAACTTGCTCAGATTTGTGGAGTGCAGAGTAAAGACCTTTTAACGCCTGTGGAGAAAACAACGTTGGATAAGTTGGTAGCAGAAAAATTATCTCAGATGGGATCTACACTTGGTTGCTGTAGAGTTGCTGAACATGAGATAGTTCTTGAACCAGGAACCAGGCCAATAAAACAGCGATATTATCCAGTGTCTCCATACAAACAGAAATTTATTGACGACGAGGTCGAAGAAATGCTCAAACTTGGAGTGATAGAGAGATCGAATAGTCCTTGGTCTAGTCCAGTATGCCTTGCACGGAAGAAAGATGGATCTTTCAGATTTTGTATCGATTTTCGCAAGTTGAATGAACACACGAAAAAAGATGCCTGGCCCATTCCTTATATTTCCACAATTTTAGATAGGTTACGGAATGCCCAATTTATTAGTTCGGTAGATATAAAGTCCGCTTTTTGGCAAGTACCGTTGATTGAGAGTTCCCGTGAATATACAGCATTTACAGTGCCTGGGAGAGGTTTGTTTCAATTTCGTAGGATGCCGTTTGGTTTATCAAATGCGCCTGCTACTTGGCAGCGTATTGTTGATACAATTTTTGGTCCGGAACTCGAGCCTAATGTTATGGTCTACCTTGATGACATTGTTATTTTATCGTCTTCTTTTTCAGAACATCTGAAACTCTTGGAAATCGTATTTGACCGCCTTGCTAAAGCTGGTCTTATCGTGTCTTTAGATAAGTGTAATTTCTGTAAACCAGAATTGCGTTATCTAGGTTATCTAGTAGATGCCCAAGGACTTCGTCCAGATCCAGAAAAAGTAGAGGCCATTGTCAATATTCCTCCACCCAAGAATATTAATGAAGTTCGTCGATTCGTAGGTACAGCATCGTGGTATAGGCGTTTCGTTCCAAATTTTTCCTCGCTTCTCGCACCTATTCTCAATCTCACGAAAAAGAATGTTAAATGGAATTGGACTGATGATTGTCAGAAATCATTCACACTACTCAAAGAATGTTTAGTTACTGCCCCTATTTTAACAGGACCCGATTTTGGAAAGCCCTTCTGTTTACAGACTGATGCGTCATCATATGGACTAGGAGCTGTTCTTACCCAGGAATTTGAGGAGGGTGAAAAAGTCATCTGTTATCTTTCCCGTTCGCTCACCAAGCAGGAAATGAAATTGTCCGTGACAGAAAAGGAATGTTTAGCTGTTATTTGGTCCGTGGAAAAGTTGCGACACTATTTAGACTGTGTGCATTTTACGGTCATCACAGACCATGCTTCCTTATTGTGGTTACATAATTTAAAGGACCCTCAAGGCCGATTAGCTCGATGGCAGTTGCGCCTTCAGCAGTTCGATTTTGAACTTATACATCGGAAGGGAAAATTCCATATTATCCCTGATTTTCTTTCGAGATCACCTGTAGTCCCTATTGATTCTGTCCAGATTCCAGATTTACCCAAATTTACTCACACGACCGATAAATGGTATAAGAATATGTTACAAAATGTTCAAGAAAATCCTGTAAAATTTCCATTTTCAAAGAACTTGGTCGAGCATGTTGAGAAATTTTTCCTACTTTTCGGCACACCTATGTTCCTAACATGTGATAATGGAGTTCAAATGAAATCCAAAGACTTCCAGGATTTGTGTAAGAAGTATCAATCTCGGATATTTTACACCGCAAGTTATAACCCCAGCGCTAATCCTGTCTGAACGTCAGAACCGAGTTGTAAAGACAATGTTTCGGACTTATGTCAAACAAGAAAATCATAGGACGTGGGATGAACATCTACACGAGATTGGTTGTGCCATCCGAACTTCGCCGAGCGAAACTACCAAGTTCAGTCCATATTTTGTGTTATTTGGGCGAGAACATAAATTGTTTGGCAATTTTAATCGACTGGATAGCAAAAGTGTCGATATGGAATCTTATGTGAAAGTCCGCCAGAAAGGGTTTGTAAAACTTTACAAACAAGTCCAACAAAGAATTGAATCCTCCAGAACGAACAATGCTCAAAGATATAATTTACGTCGCCGTTACAGGTGACAAAGTTTGGCGCAGAAATAAAGTTCTCTCTGATGCTGCTTGCTATTATACCGCAAAATTAGCGCCACCGTATACAAGACCGTTCATCATCAAACGGAAATGCGGTTCTTGGTCGTACGAACTCCAAGACGACCTAGGTTGCTCAAAGGGAATCTGGCATGTACAAAATCTAAAACAGTACACCTACCCAGCACTTGCGAATGAAGTTTCAGATCCTGATGAGTAACTATTTTATTTTTTCTTTGAGGTAGCGAGTAGGTATGGTGGTCCGACCTACTTCAGGGATGCGACCCTGCCCACGCGAGCCGTGATTTGCCCTCAATCCTGTTTTCCTGAGGGGAATCATGTCCTAACCTGTAATCCTACCAAATACCAAAATCCTTGTCCTACCTCCTGTTCCGTTTAGAATTAGTCCCTAGTAGTTAAGATTAGATTAGTTTTTTTTAGTTGCAGTACCTATCTATAACAATATCTTTATAATTATATTGTTTTTAATTTTTATTTCTTTTCATTCTTAGTTACCTATAGTTATCAATTTCTTTCTCATTTATAACTTCATTTCACTTTTCTATTTGCTTTCAATAATTTCCTTCGTGTTCTTTTAGTATATATTTAGTAGTTCTTGTTTATCATCGTCGGAAAATTTTCTTCTTAAATTTCCCTCCTATTCCAAGGAGAGGGAGGGTTGTAACGTGCCAAAATTTCACTAGACTATTTTATTTATTTTTCTCAATAATTTAACGCTAATTGATATTATTATTAGCCTGAAATATCGATCAGTTCAATTCAGTAAACCAAGAATAAATAAATCATACTTATATGTCAACAAAAGTAATTATTCCATTCTTATTTTTAACTAAACATATTTCACACTTAATAACATTTTATTTGCAGCACATAACTAGTTCGATTTAATACAATTTAATATTTATTTTAGCCGAAATAGATAAAATAAATCTTTCGGTAGTTAATTATGTTTATTTACTAAATACGTAGGTTAGGAATTTTTGAATTGAACCGTCAAATATTTATTTACATTTTTATTAACATTAACTATTAGGCAACCCAAAATTTACTTTAATAAATTGATTGTATATTTTTGGATTTTATTTAATCAACAGTAATTATTGAGCCTATTGTCCCTTAGTTAAATTCATTAAATTTATGTTGATCTATTTTAATTTTTTAGTAAAATTTTCTAGGCATAATTGTCTTAGTAAAAACCTTGATTATGTATAAATAGATATACAATGAGGGCTTAGTAAAATCCTGTCTTCTAGATGGCGCCTTGTCCGTTCTGCATTTTTGTATTCCCCTACGATTTTCTTTGAGGGGAATCCGTTAAACCCGCCCATCGTTCAAAAATGGAAGGGCGCGAGGTCACATCTATTGGGCTACTTATTAGCACGTTTCACGCATGTTTTACGAAAATAGCTTTATCCTTGTTTGTTTCAACTGTGACAAAGAAAAAAGAAAAAAAAGTCATATTCGTTTCTAAATTCGGCAGTTTTGTTTATCTTTCTCGACTTCTTGATTTCGTTTCTTGTTTAGGTTATGTCTTAAAAAAATAATTATTTATAAGCTTTTTGAGTTGAAATATACCTTAATGCATATCTAAATAATTAAAAAATCATTTTTTCGTCCCCCACGAAGAAACAAAACAGTATTTTTGAATATTTGGATTACAAACTATTATTTTGAGTTTTACGTGTTGTGTTTACGTGATGTGTACGTGTATTTTGTACCTGCTGGATAATATTTTTGAAACATATTTAATTAAACAAAAGCATCTGTATTACAGGTGAGTAAATACTGTTCATATTTATTTCTAAATTCATATAAATTTGTTTTAAATCACTCTTGGTTTTTAGAGTTTATAGCTTAGAGTTTTACCTCATAG